AAAAAAAAAAAAAAAAAATTAAAAACCACCAAAAAACAACAACAACAAAAAAACGGAAACCAGTTTCCTTCACCGCGAAGTTGCATAGTACAGAGAACTCACCCGTCACTTTTAAAAGTAAGTTCCTCTGATCAAAGTTTGACTCGCACGCAGTGTTTGAGCTGCACGGCTACTACGGTTGCTTTTCCTTATTTGATCGTATCTGAAAGAGCGTTTCCTGTGTTTGCTTTGATTGGTTCCTCGGTAAATTCAAATGACCCAAGCCTTTGCCGCCGCCCCCTCTGACCCTTCCTGTGATCTCTGGAGACTTGATTTGGCTCTGTCTTTGAAGCTTGGTCTGAGTGCCCTAACTTCTCTCTCAGAATTTTGAGTGTTGTTATCAGGCAAGTTCTGAGATCTGCCTTTTATCTTACACCAGACACCTTTCTAAAGAGCCGTTCTCCTTTCGTTTTGCAAGCACTGGGGGTTTTCATACTTCTTTTGTAGAACGCCCCATTTCTGTACATAGAACTATAAAAACAGTAGCGTTGAAACCTTTGCTGTGGTTTGAGCATCATTGTCATTTTTTGGTGAAGGTGGCGACCCGAGGGTCCACGTACTCTACTGTCTTTAGAACGCTGTGATCGAGTGTGCAATGATTTGAAGGGAAGCGTAATAAATTAAGGTGTCTGTAGTTTTTAAGGAAGAAGTTGTTGAAGACGTGTACATAACGGCCCGTGTCTTTTGGTGCAATAACTAACCGCAAGGAAAAGTTCTGTTTGCAACCCAGTGTTGTCATGATTCTCTTAATCGTCTACCGTTCTTTTCCGTTTCAAAGTCTTCTGGAAATTGCTTTATCCCCTTCAACTCGGTTGAATATTTAATCTGGTTCTCCTGGCTTTTATCCCCAGAATTGGTTTACAGGTATCCCCACACACGGATGCGATAGAATCGAATCGTGCTATATCTGACCCACAGAATTTACCCAAGACATTGTCATTGCTGACACGTGGCGCTGCTTGGGTGTTCGTTTAAAAGCCACCTGTGGTTCAGGTGACAAAAAGAACCCAAGCAGTTTCCCGGGCGGGTAGTCTTTCCATCTTACTGACCTGTTCTCAGTGCGCCGGCGAGCACGTAGGTCTCTTGTGAACCAGCCCGGAAGCCAGGGCAGTGCTGCAGGTGGACCTAAAGGCTACCCCGAAGGAAAAGGAGAGTCCTGGGACCAACGTTTGCCGAAAAATCTGCTCGCGATGGGGAATTGGGAGACGATTTTTTTTTTTTTGAAACGACAGAAGAGAACAAAATCATCTCATTTGTTGTTTAGAATGGGAGGTAGCATGCTATCTGGAAGCATAAACTGTTCCTAGTCGTGAAAGGCCAAAGTTCTTTTGCTGTTTTACATTCCAGTTTGAGAAGTTTGTACTGAAATTCGATTCATATCTCGTGTGCCGTTCTGGTGTGTCCCAAGGAAAAATTCGTGTTTTCACTTTGGAAATTTGCAGCACAAAGGGCATGTTGTTTAGTTTGCTGTAAGACTGAATTCTGTATATATGTTTTCATGTAAATAAATGAAAATCTATATCAGAGTTATATTTTAATTTTTATTCTTAATGAAAAAAAAGACCCTTTTTACTTGAAAAAAATTGTAAGCCACATTGTTAATAAAGTACAAATAAGTTCTACAGCGGTGTTGGTGTCTTCGTACTTAAGGTTACTGAATGTTAGTTTTAGGGTTTGCATTTTGTTCTGGGTTTTTTTTTTTTTTTTTTTTT